TTGCATCATCTTATTTAAACAAAGACGATATTGGCCATACTGCCTACTGGGATCGGCTTTGAAAGACTGCAATAATTTTTGCAGCTATGTAGTAACAATCTGCGTCTTCTGGGTTCCCAGAAACGGTTCTGCTCCGTGGGCTTTTTACAAAAGCAGGCACAGAGAGTGCCTCGATGGTGGCTGGGAAACTCTTCTGGGACTTAAAAAGGTTGAGACCTGAGATGAACTTGAAGAATGACTGGCATATTTCCCTTAAGTCTTCCTCACGTCATGGCAGTGACTGAGCTCTTTGCTGAGCCATTACCAGAGTGGTGGTGAAGTCGTTGGTTCCATTTCTTACTGCTCTGGGAAACTCCACAAAGCTGGTGCTACCGATCCACTGCCAACACCGCGGTCTGTGGAAATGCGACTCTGGAATTGACCCTCAGTCTTGTGTGTTAGCGGTCAGTCATTGCTGCAGACACGGGACTGCGGCACAGCTTAATGAGGCACCCCAAGAGAAGGTGACCTGTGTTCCTCCTTTTCCTGGTTAGTGTAAATCTGAGGATGATGCCTTCACCCAGTGCCATTTTGAACATAAGTTTCTTGAAGGAAGCTAAAACTTCAGTCAGGCGATGAGTGGCTGGACAGTACAGAGAGATACAGATATAAGCTCAAATGGAATGTAAAAAACTGTTCAGAGTGAGGGTAGTCTAATATAGAAATAGCAAGTCATGCATTCACATGTGTATGCACACATACACACATGTACATGCACACATACACACATACATGTGCACACACATATGCATTTGCATGTGTGCATGTGCTCACTCATGCATGTGCATAAACACACACACACACACACACACACACACACACACACGAGTATTGAAAGCATTGCAGCCAATCAGAATCCTTTAATTCCTCGGGGCTCTGAAAGCCTAGGGGAGCAGCTTCACTAACCTGAAGAGAAAGGGCAGGTCCACTCAGCTAAACGTTCTCAAGCTGTCAGTGATTCCTGAACTTGAGTGCCCATTGGTAAACACACAGCCTTCTGCATGTCTGCATCATGCGTGAGGAGCATTGGGAGAGGCGGGCACTGTGTGTACTGAGCACATTCTGGGCATGCTGGGCACTCTGCTCCATGTGAGTTCACGCTACTACCCTCCTCCCAGTCACTCATGTCTCTATGCATGTGTGTCCACTCACGTCTCTACGCACCCCCAATCCAGTGATTAGGCAAAGCGCAGAGTTACTTGTGCCCAACCCCAGAACTTTGACTTCAGAATTCCATGGGATGAAAGGTCTACTCAGCCACTAGGGGGCGCCAATTGCATGGAAAAGAGGGGCGCTTGGGTCTTCCTGGAAGGAACAACCAGGTAACTCACTTTCTTGAAAGGTGGGACTGGCTGAGTGCAGCAGCAATGCTTGCTGGCTCTTCTGGGGGAGCCAGGAGGTCAGGACAGGGGTCATGTGACATGAGAACGTGCTCTCAGATTCCCCTCCAGAGACTCGGCGGCTGTCTACCCTGCAAGGCACCTTGCCTGTATAATTCAACACTGTTTACTTTCTTCCTATTCTCCTCGACCTGCTCTTGTTCTGAAGTCGTCTTGAGACAGACGATCTGCCTGGTGTACAGAAGAGGCCTGTGGGGAAAGAAGGGTCCTCACCTCAAAGCGTTTCATATTTTTCTTCTCTGCATATACATACGGGTGCACACGTGTGTTCACACATGTAGAACTGCACATGTGTGTGCAGGAGGCCTGACTATGGCAAAGGAGTCTTCTGCAATTGCTCTCCACTGTGCACACTGAGGTTCCTGAACCTGGACTTCTTTGAGTTGGAGTTTCCCCTTGCTCTCTGGGGGGGGGGGGTCCTTGTGGGATCACCGGAGACTGGGGTTGAGGAGTGGGAGAGGAAGCTACCGCTCTGACTTGTGGCCATACTACGTGCTCAACATCTCCTGTAGATTATCTCCATTAAGTGCTCAAGTTCTGCCAGAGAATGGCAACTACCCCTTCGTTGACTGTCCAGAGCTGATGTACACTGAGGTTACCTTAGAGGTCTGAAGCCAGGTGCTTAGAGACGTGGACTCCTGAAAGGCTATCCTCCCTTCACCTTGGACTCCTGGAAGGCTATCCTCCCTTCACCTGAAGCCCATGCCTCTTCCCATATGCCATGAAGGTAGTAGCTAGGTGAGCAGGAACAGCGTAGGGACCCAGGACACAGAGCTATGCAGAGAAGGGCACTGGGGATCTGAACTCAGGTCCTCATGCCCACACAGCAAACACTTGAGCCACCGAGTCAAATCTCCATCTTCCCTTCTTCACCTCCCAAACCAGATCCGACATCATGGTTTGGAGTTTTACACTCAGCTCACAGGCAGACACAATGCTAAGTGAGAGCTGGGGTCCATAGGAATCCTTTGGTCGGAATTAGTCCACCATTGCCTTTGAAGGTGACTAGACACCGTGCGCATGAAATGTAATGGGTATCCTCCTCATGCAAATCAGAAGAGACGAAATAGAAAAAATGGTGAATTGACCTGTTTTGTTCAAGGCCAAGGAGGGAGGACTGTTCCCCAGAAGGAAAAATGTCCAGTGTCCAGCAATGATCCCTTCATGAGTCTGAGTCTCAAAATGGGCTCATTTCCTTAGTGAGCGTGGGAATTATCTGTGTGAGAAGAGCCCCCCTGAGGGAACCTTCCAGAAGACAGGTGCTTTAGTGATCATTCACAACTATATCAGATGTATAGGTTCCCTCACACACTGACACATCTTCTGAGACGCCAGGAACTCTCTGCATGTGAATTAGCAGGGATATTTAGCCAAACTGAAGCTTAGCCTGTGAGATTAGACACTCTCTGTGCCTTGACGATGGATTTGCAGCTTATTTTTACATCTTAAAAACCTGTAAGGCCTGTAGATCTAGAAGGCAATTCAACCCCTGCTGCCATTGGAAATGTGCTGACTGTGTGCTCTCTAGGGACAGAGATATCTCTGGGTGGTGTCAATACTATGAAAACCCCAACCTAACAAGCATGACCCCCCCCCAGAATCAACAGTTTTCACGTCCCAGAGTCACGTGGGTGCCGGACACACTCAGCGGAGTGGCTTTCTTTGACTTAAGGTCTTTAGCTTGCTTGTCTGATGGCCCAGAGCTGGGGAAGCAGGGCTGTGGGGGAGACGAGGTGTCTCCATTGCAAGAGGCTTAACTAGTCCACAAACCTAGCGAGAGGGATGTGGGCTGGGAGTGGCAGAGGGCGAGGGGGGAGCCAACGGCGGAGGAGCGCTGTGGAAACTTCTTCCGCAACCGTGAAATGGTCCGAGGCACAAAGGACACGCTAGCCTGTGCCCCGACACCATTCTGACTCACTGACCACCTCGCTGCTATGGAAACTTCTTCCACAACCGTGAAATGGCCCGAGGCACAAAGGACATGCTAGCCTGTGCCACCGACACCATTCTGACTCGGCTGACCACCCCGCTACCCGAAACCTCCACTGGAGCTCGAGGTGAGCTCTACCATAGGAGCAGGATCGCCCCCACTGTTCTCCCAAGGAAACAGGATGGAGGTCTGCAGAGGAAACCACTTTTCAAGCATCCCGCGTCTGTTGCGGCTCCCAGCAAACCCACTCTTCAGATGCGTCTGGACTCTGTTCTTCTTCCTTCTTAGGTTTCCAGGCAGGAGAGCAGCCAGTGGGCACCGCACTGGGCGAGACCCTGACCTGCGGGCAAAAGCAGGAAAGCGAGCTACCCAAACAACACTCAGAACTGGGAAAATCTCCACACTGCGGCGATTTTCTAAGAAGCTGTGCCCTTGAGAGAAGTCCTCTCTTGTGCCTGCATAATGTATAGATGTGACACAATTGTCAACGCCCGCGAAAGCACCTCTTCTGGAAAGTCCTTGGGCGGGGGCTCCTCTCACAGATAATTCACATAGGTACTAAGGAAATGAATCCATTTCGATGCACGGATTACTAGCATAAAGGCCTGTGCCTGGACAATTGCCCAGGGACCTCATGCAGAAGTGTTCAGTTCTTGCTCTCATGTTCCGCCTGGGCTATCTTGAAGCTCTTAATACGGTTTGAACATAGAGACCTGTGTAATACGAACAGTTAAAAACCCAGAGTCAGAAACTGGGTTTCAAGCTGAAGATCAGAGAAGCAAGGCGGCCAGCCACCAGAGCATTCTCACCTCTCTGTCAATGCTCAGACCGAACGGGGGCGGGGGGGGGGGGTGGGGGATCCACCAAACCTCAGATTGCATCTCTAGACTGCGCTGCTCTTCACCAAGCTTCGGAATCCTAGACTGCTGTGCTGTCTTCAGCATGGCTGGAGACTGACTGCCGAACACTGGCTTTGTTTCTTCCTTGTATACCCTGTCTAGTTCTGGCATTAAAGGCCTGGGCTCTGTTAGTCTTTTAGACTGGTTCATTCTGTGTAGCCCCGGGTGGCCTTGAACTCACAGAGATCCATCTGCCTGGCTCCCGAGTCCTGGGATTAGAGGTGTGTGTGCCGCCACTGCCCAGATTCTGTAGCTCTCTGGTGCGCCTGGCTCTGCCCGCTGATCTCCAGTAGCTTTATTAGATCGTGAACAATGCGTCGCCACAGTCCTGTGTTTTCGTTTTTTGCACTGGGGTCCAGGACTTGGTTCTAGTAAGGTGACTAGGGAACCGGGGAGACCCCAGTTAAAGTTGGCTGCCCACTTAGTAATTGCCATCGTGGAGAAGAGGGAATACTCTCTTGACATTAGTGCTCTCGGCTACGAAGTGGAACTGCTGGACACCTTGCACGGCATTGTGGGACTGTTGTGACGTCACCCGGGTTGACCTAGTGAATGCAGGTAGCCTTGGCCTGGGTATCAAGCCAGTAAATGGAAATGATTTGCCTGTAAATTAATTAAATTACACCCAGTTCTTGAAATATATTGTTATGCAACTTAATAAAGTGTGTGTTTCCCGAGCAGCTGCTATAAGGCGGCTACGTGCGTACTCATCATGAGTTACTGCAGGGCCAATTTCAAGCTTGAGGGATTCTTTTTAATTATAGTTTTTATTTGTTCATTAAAAAATGCCACGCGTGCTGCTGCCCCTCCCCAGTTTCTTCTGGCCTTCCCAACACATCTTCCTCCCAATCTCATGACTTTTAAAAAGGCAACCCACTGAGTCTAATAAGAGCATGTGGCCACCGAGCCTTCTGCTGGAGCCTGGGCAACACTAGCCAAATCTCCAGATTAAAGTGACTCCTCCTCTCCCAGCAACCAGGACCTCTAGGAGCTCCCCATATGTACTGGAGTTTTAACTGGCTTGATTGTGTGCAGGTGACCGGAGCTGCTGTCATGAGTTCAGTGGTGGTGTTGCATCCAAAAGACAGCAGTGGTGGTGTTGCATCCAAAAGACAGCATTTCCCAGCTTTCAATCTCACTTCCAGCTCTTACTCCCTTTCCACTTCCTCTTCCTCAGTGTTCCCTCAGCCTTCAGGGGTGGGACACAAAAGACTAAGGGTTTGTTTGTTTGCTTGTGACACACACACACACACACACACACACACACGCGCACACACACACACACACACACACACACACGACCCATGGAAATAAGAACAGGCTGTCATGTGTTCAGCATGGTGTGACCACTGCGGTGGTTATGACTGTAAAGCCAGACTACAGATAAGTAGATTCCTTGAATGGTCAAGCGTTAACGAGCCAGGCATGGTGGCATGGTGGCTCACACCTGTAATTCCAACACCCGAGAGGCAGAGATCTCTACAAGCGTGAGGCCTGCTGGGTCTGCAGAGTGTGAGTGTGTCTCAGAAAAGCAAAACCAAGGCAAGTAACCAGCGGGTATCGGAGCAAGTCCTTCAGGGTTCACGTCCTACGGCACACAACAACCTCCAGACCTCTCGACCTCTAGTCCTGGGCCAGCTCTGTCCTTTCCTTTCTGTCTGGGGGTTCTGTCAATTTCCCCTTCTCCCTTCTTTTCCTTTCTTTCTTTCGTCTTATTCTTACTGGTACCCTCCGATCTGAAATCCTTACTTACCTACGCATTTCTTTATTCTTATCTATGTGTGTGCGTGCCCACAAGTGTGTATGCATGCTCACACACATGGGAGTGCCGGCAGAGTCCAGAAGAGGGCATTGGATTCACAGCAACTGGGAGCCACCCCCTGTGGGTACTGAGAACTGAACACGCATCCTCTGCAAGAGTAATTCATGCCCTTAACCGCTGGGCCATCCCTCCAGCCCTCACATTCCTTGATTCCTGACGGCTTAAAAACATTCTGTGCCCCTCCCAATGACATAAAAAAAGCCCAACAGTTTAACAGGTATGCGGGACCCACTTCTGAGCTGCTAGGCCGGCGTCCAGACCCTGGCATGAGAAGAAAGGAAGCTGGCAGAGCAGGGGGAGCTGGGCGCTTCCAGTTTTTCATTTTGAGAGCAAAATCCAAATATTACCAAGCAGTTGCTAATGGGAGGACAATAAGCAATAGCATCTTGACGATTTTTATCAACAAATTGTCTCTGAGGGAGGCAGCTTCACTATGTACAGATGTCTCCTGGGGGTTTCCTAAGAGCCCTCGTGGTTAGGTGATGACACCAGGAGTATAAATTAAAGTTTGCCTTGCCTTCTGATCACTCAAGAATGTCTATATTTATTCTCAAGGGACTTGTGTACAGCAAAGCAAGAATTCTTTGTAGACGAAGAACTCAGCCCCACTCTGAGCCCTCCCCTCCTGAAGGCGTGTGGCCCCTGTGTATGTAGTGAGGCTGTAGTTAGTTAAGGGGTATGGAAAGAGGGGTGGGGGCGTAGAGCATCCCAAGCAGGCCCCTACCTATCCAGGACTCCAATTCCTTTTACCTACACAACAGGAAAGAAAGCCTAGATGATATAGATGGGAAATAAACCCCAGACCTCCCTGGCCTTACAGACCAAGGTTTTATGGCAAGCGCACCCACTGGAGGCACCGTTACCGGAGGCCTATACCTCCCTTTGCTGCGGTGCCCTCTTACCCTCCGCTCCCAGGTAAGCAAAGGCGGCGTGCACCCTGCTCTTGATGGTGGCGTAGGGACCAAGTGGGGTGCCATCATTTCCGAGACAGTCCTGGTTGACTCTGCTGGGCCTTAGAGCCCGGGAAGGAAAGGCAGGATCAGAGCTGCTGCTCCGCCCTGAAGCCTTTCTTACCCCCCCCCCCAGCCATCTGATTCTCACCTGCTCCACGGCTGCCTCCTGACTTCCATCTGGTCAGCGTCGTCCCCAATACGTGGGGTGCAGAAATATGACAAATGGTGACAAATGGGAAGAAAGGAGTCACAGAAGTTTCAATGCTGATCATCGACAGGTTTACCGACAGTTGTAAAATTTGGCTCCTCTTTCAATTCGTTTTCATCTGCGAGCCAACAGCGGTTGGTCGCATTAAAGGCCAACAAGGCCGCTGCTGCGCTTTTCTTGCCAAGTCAGTTGGGGACCAGATGGCGACACCGACCTTCCCCCCCCCCCCCCCCGCCCCCATGTGCTTCATTCTTCCCCAGGAATGGGACGCTCCAGGAAAAGCCCGACTTCTGGACTTGACTTGGGCTCTTTGGTTCTGTTTGAAGCCCTCACACTCCCATCCCCAAGCCTCCAGCTTCCTGCCTGTTCCTCTCAGGAGGGTGGTGCATACTCGTGCTTGAAACCAAGAGCTCCTGCAGAGGCGGCAATCAGTCCTGCTCCATCCCAGCACCTCCTGAAGGCTAGGTGGCCACCTGGTAGTGCGGCTTCCAGCCGAGTCATCCTCCTCCGCTAATGAGTACCTTCCTCACCTCCCAGAGTTAGTAAAGACCTGTGCTGTTCCCCTGCAAAAACTACAAGGATGCAGAGAGAGAGAGAGAAAACCGTCTTCTGGAAACAAAGCAACCTCCTGATGCTCTCCAGTTTCACAGTGACAATGAACTCCTCAAGACCCTGCCCTCCCAATGCCTGGGCTGGCGTCAGTGTTGTTCAACCGCTTGAATCTGTAGGTTTGGGAGATAACCCAGGCTGAAGACAGTGGGGGTGATCTGGACGAGTCTGGAGAGCTCCGGATCAACCTTAGCTGCTGATTGTAATACACGACTGAAAGATTTGGTGCAGAACGGAGTGTCCTGCTTGCCAAGCACCGCAGGGCATCTATCTTACACCCTGCTAACCACTGTCTTCCTCAGGAGCCACTGTTTTCATAAATCTAACCCCGAGTCAAGAGGACGCCATTTCCTATGAATGCTCTCACATGGCGACCCCCAAGGATGGAGTCTCCGGCTAGTATTCAGAGCACGTGCGGGCGTTTCTTAACTCCCTCTTCCTCTCTCCTTGCTGTTCACGAACGGCTCCTTCACTCTCACCATCTGGTGTGTCTGGGGCTCTGGAGCCACAGGGCTGAAGCCCTGGGTTGCCTCACGTGAACTCACCGAGCAAAGGCACGGTGTGGAGCTACGGCAGCTGCAGGCATCCTGCAGATGAAGACAAGGATGCTTGGAGGGATGAACCTGGCTGAGGCCACAGGCGAGCGCCAAAGCCAAGGCCTTCTGGGTCTACAACCGTGCTGTCCATTAGAAAAGAAAGTGGAGTTCTCGGTTGTGAGCATTTGTACATTTGACAGGGGCCTCTCGGCAGGTCTGGGACTTTTTTTGGTTGCCACTGCTCCTGCTCCCTGCCTGGTAGGGCCAAAGACGCTGCTACAACGAGTAGGACACCTTGCAGCGCAGAAATGTCCTCAGGCGTGTTGAAACACGGTTGAGGAGGAAAAACAGTGAGGAAGCACAGCCCATGCACACATGGACACAGTGAATCCACTACCCGTCTACTCTGCCTGCCCATGAACCTACATCTCTTCCTCATCTACCTGCCATCGTCCATACCTACGAACCTGTCCTATGCATCCGTATATCTAGCTTTATTTACCATTTATCTGCCATCGAGCTATTTACCTATCATCTATAATTATCAGCCTATTCCTGTTTACCTGTGTATCTTTCGTCCATTCAGCTAAAACTTTTAGTCTTTTGATCGGCGGGACCTGGTCCTTCGGGGTTTGGCTTTGAACACAGGACGGTTGGCCCTTTGAAAGAGGCTTTAGAGTGTTTATAATTCTGAAAGCCTTTAAAATATTTTTAAGTTCCTATTTTATTATTTGTTTATTTAGTTATTTAGTTGCGTGTGTGTGTGTGTGTGTGTGTGTGTGTGTGTGTGTGTGTGTAGCATGTGGGCACGCGCATGCCACAGAGAGAGTATGGAAGTCAGAAAACAACTTACCGGGGTCTGTTCTTGTCTTCTAGACCATGTGGATTCTGGGAACCAAACTTGGACTATCAGGTTTGGAGGCACAGGGCTTTACACACTGACCCCCGCCCTTAAAGTAATTCTTACCAGGGATCACAGAGCAAAGTGAGTTCTAAATTACTGTTCCTTAAAGATGCGGTGGGGTGCTTGATTTGCCTATAGCTGTGATTAGGAGTCCTATACGTGGCATGTGTAAGTTTAAGTGTTTGTTTTTTATTTTTTGTGGGTTTTTTGTGTGGGTGTGGGGGGGCATGGCTCCTCGTTGGTTCCTGTGGACTTTCCCTTTGACTATGGAAAGTCCGGGTCTTCCCTGAGACTGAGGACCTGTGTTTTTGTTTGCACACAACCTTGAGAAAGGATCTGTGCCAAGATAGTTTGTTTGAGCAGGGCTTAGGTCAAGGCTGTCCTTGCCATAACTCCTATTCCAAGTATCCGATTTACTTTAATGGTGTACTGATCACACATTGTGTGTGGCTTCAATACACTGCCACACACTATATCAAGACCCATTACACATACTGTTAATGTATCACATACTATATTAATAAACACCACACCAACACATGGACCATTATGTCAGTACACAAGATAAATACTATAGTGACAGTTACACATTGAATCAATGTATATTACATATGACAATAATAATATTGAATACCACACCAAAAATGTATACTGTGTCTTAGTTTCTTTTCCAGTTGCCGTGATAAGTAAATAAAGGCAAAAAAAAAAAAAAAAAAACAAAAGCCTGCGAAAACCAACTTAAGGAAGAAAGTTTTTCTTTGGCTTGCAGCCTGTGATGGCGGGGGAAGTTAGAATGGCAGGAGCCTGAGAACTACTCTAGGATCGTAGGTGGAAACTAGATTCACACTCCTCCTGCTGGACGAGCTCCTGTCTCCTCCCACCAGTAGCAGCAGAGGTTATGGGATCAACTGACCATAAAGAAGGATAAGCACTATTTTCAGAACAGCTTGGTTTGGTCCTGGCTGTGGATAGTTGGGAGCAAGAAGCTGTCACCACACTCCCAGACCAAACCCAGTGGGGAAGAAGGCCATACTGGCTTCCCAGGGTCACCGAGGCCACATTTCTTCTCGCCAGGAAGAGAGCAGGACAGTGGCTGGTGGCTCACAGCCTCTCCTTTCTGGGCAATCCAGGTTTTAACGGACCGGGGAACGGAGGCACTGTCTGAAGCCTTCCAGACTGGTTATATCTCGGACCTCCCCGTTCTAGGTCCTTATCTCCCGGGACAGAACAGGGTTGCTAGATTTCACTGACTCTGTGTGCCTTCTATGACTGTCACCAGCAATCCCAACCCCAAACAACTTCCTCTACACCCGACGGAAGCAGGGGAAGACTTCAAGAAGGAGCTGATATAGCTGACATATAGCACATGGTCCAATGAGAAAGGCCGTAACCCTGTGAATACAATTTCTGGAAAGTCAGCGTAAACAAAGACCTCTCTACTTCACCTTATTGATGGGAATGGCTTAAAAGCACGCGCCACTTAGGAAGTCAAGCCCAGGAAACACAGTGTACTGGTTCTCAATCAGGTGCTGGCTGAAGGCCAGCATTGGGGTTCCAAGTGAGTATCCAATCAGCAAAAACACACCCTTGACTCACCCAGTGCCACGGCTAGGGAGAGACCTCAGAACATATCCAGACACTTGGGCAACTTTATCTGAAGGTCACACACCACTCTGTGCGCCTAATAAATATTTATCCACCCGATTATCACAGAAACCCTGTCTGTAGGCAGTACTATTATCTCCACTTGACAAATAAGGAAACTGAGGCAAAAGCTAAGTCACACACCCAAGGACACAGTACTGATAAGTCATTTCATCTAGTTGAATTGGGTCTAAAGCCCCTAAACTATACCCAAGGTCGTGGAACAAGAAGTACAAGCCCAGTTTCTCTAACCCAGAAATGCGAGGGAAGAGAAACAGTTTAAGTCAATTGGTTTCACCATCCACAACTTCTTCTCCTTCCCAAGAAAAAAGTGAAGTGCTTTGCTCTTTGCTCTCTGCTCTCTCTCTCTCTCTCTCTCTCTCTCTCTCTCTCTCTCTCTCTCTCTCTCTCTCTCTCCCTCTCCCTCTCCCTCTCCCTCTCTCTCTCTCTCTCTCTCTCTCTCTCTCTCTCTGTGTGTGTGTGTGTGTGTGTGTGTGTGTGTGTGCCTGTGTGTGATTTATTTCTTTGGTCTAGAAATAGCTAATAGAAAGACCTTGTTTCTGAGCCAGGTCCAAGCTCCGGGTTTCTGTCTTCGATTGGAAAGACTGGTGGAAATCTAACCACACTGCCTTCCTTCGCACAGGATCACACAGAAAACACAAAGCACTGGCACCCGGCGACGCCTCAGGCTCACCTCTGTGAGGAAGGATTCCGCTTGCAGGGGATGGTGACTAGTTGGGACCCGTAGGGGTCAGCATGGCCAGGGGTCAAGATCAGCTGAGTATCCCCAGAACTCCAGCCCAGCCTGGTGAATTTGTGCAATGAGCAAGACTCCAGGGTCAGCAGGAGTTGCTTGTCCTGGTTTGGGAAGGGTCACAGGGAAGTAGGAGGGCATCCCAATTCAGTAAGTCCTTGTTTACAAGACTAGCTCTGCCTTGGTGGAAGTCACACAGCCTGGGCTGGTCCAAGGGTTTGGTTCAATCCAAGATTTCTCAACTTGAGCTCTATTGTTATTGGACACTGGGATACTTGGTCCTGGAGGCCACAGGGAGCACCTGGAGATGGCGGAGACATCCTAGGCCTCTGCCACTAGATGCCAGCAGTGGCCTCACATTGTGACAATTAAAAAAACAAAATCACTGCTTGATCCGCCCAGACTCAAAAGAACCCTCTGGCTGAGAGCTGCCGACTTGTCCTGGTAACTCCAGAACTGATGAAGATTGCTGAAATTAAATTTAAGTTTAGACCAGACCCAAATCCTCTGGATTAAACCCAACATTTGCCTGAATTTCCCAGATATTTTTGGGAAATAAATGACCTTCCTTCCCTCCTCCCTCTCCTCCCCTCCCCTTCCCCTCTTCCTCTCCCTCCTTCCTCCCCCTCCCCTCCCTCCTTCCCCTCTCTCTCTCCCCTCCCCTTCCTCTCCTCCCCCTCCCCCTCTTCCTTCCCCTCTTCCTCACCTCCCTTCTCCTCCCCCTTCCCTCCTCCCCTTCCCTCCTCCCCTTCTCCCTTCCCCTCCTCCTCTCCCTCCCCTCCCCCATTCCTCTCTCCTCCCCTCCCCCATTCCTCTCTCCTCCCCTCCCCCATTCCTCTCTCCTCCCCTCCCCCATTCCTCCTTCCTCCCCCTCCCCCTCCCCCTCCTTCCACCCCTCCCCCTTCCCCTCCTCCACCCCCTCCCCCTCCCCCTCTCCTGCCTGAATGGCTCTTGTGCTTCTCCATGTGTTTACCCATCGTGTAGGCATCGTCTCCTCTTGGGAATTTTGAGCGACGAACTCTTTTCAGCGACAGTCAACCGTCTACATAGCCCCGTGGCTCCCAAATCAGAATGAGTCTAAAACTCAACCTTGCGCATCAACAGGGAAGGAAGAGAGTCTGAGGGCCCCAGACAAGCACCAGCCTATTCCATAAGCGCGTACGGACTTCACGCATGGTTACGACCAGTCCCTTACAACGGAGGGCCTCGTTTCCCTTATTAACAACAGTGATGCTCACAGCAGCTCTCTGACAGGACAGCTAGAAGCCCGACAAGCAGACAGCACAGGGCAGAGATGTGACAGACGTCACCGAGCGTCATCCGCTAACGCCGTTTTCTCTGATGACGATGCCACTTGCCACTGACGTCTGTGGTTTCACTCCGTCATGGATACAGCTTCGTTTGAGTAGTCTTCTAGAAAAGGGGACCAATCAGTATTTATAAACAAGGAAAATTACTAGCGCTGATGGTTTTTAGGTCTAAATAGCTCAAGACCTTAAAGCAGTGTATGTGAGTGGGTCTATGCCTGCAAAATCCAGAGGAGGGCATCAGGTCCCTGGCAGCCACAGTCGCAGGCAGCAGTGAGTTAACTGAGGTGGGCGCTGGGAACTGAGCTCGGGTCCTCTGGAAGAGTCACAAGCACACTGCAACACCCAGGCCTCTCCCCAGACGCCGGTAAGTTCAAGGGCCTTGTGACCCTTTGTTAAACATTGCAACCCTTTGTCCATGGGGCGTTAAACCAGCCATAGGAAACCACACAGGAAACTTCACTTGGGTTGTGTGGCACCCTTATATTTCTCAATGGCTAAAGAAGTCTTCTTAAATCTGAGCGAGAACAGTTCTCCTGACCCCGAACAACACGGAGACAGTAAAGCAAATAAATAAAAAGTAAATAATAAAGCTCAGACATGGGCAACAGTTCCCTGGCCACTGCCTGAAGGGTATGGATGCTATTTCTCCCTGAAGCACAGTTTTTTATTATTTCTTATACTAAAATTCATCACGGTACTTTAAAGGCGATTTTCTGTAAAAATAGATTAAAATTTGAAAAGTGTTGACAAGAATCGTGCTCTCAGCCAGGAGCTGCCTTTTAGTTTGCCGACAAGAAGGCAGGAGGGCAGAGGGAGGGTGGATGTGGTCTCTGTCACATTTATCGCCTTGCTTCTTGTTCTTGGAGCTTGTTAGCTGTGTAACTACCCAGAGAGCCCAAGCTCAGGCTCTCAGATTGATAGCGCCATTTATAACTGCAAACAATGGAGACAGAGAGTTGTTGTCTCCGAAAGCAGCAGTTCCGATGCCGCTCTCCCCTCAAGGCTGCCACAGGAAGACCAAGGGGGACTTGACGTTACACTGACCTGAATGAGAACACACTTCATCTCTGCGGCAAGGGCTGGGAGGGATAAACGCATCTGCCCTGCTTTAGATATAAGCGAAGGGTCGTCCCTTAATGCAGTCTCGGTGTGACTTTCTATATAGCTCTGCTAAATGGCCAGGTGCGTCTGCAGCTGTGTGTGAACCTCCTGCATTCACCGTTGTGCGTTACAGGATGAATGCCGTTGTGTGAGCACTTCCGCCTCCGCCTCCTTCATCCTGGAGGTGCCATCGGATAATAAGGAGAGCAGCTACACTGTGGTTGGTGGAGGCTCTGTTCCAGGATCCAAGCTGGTCACCTCAACTGTAGGGAATGGAGCATCTGGGGGGGTGAGTCTGCTGGGGGTAAGGCTGTGTGTGCACAGGGAGGGCTGTGTAAGAGCAGGTTGACCTCAGAGGTTGTGAAATTCAAAGGACCCCGTGGTGATGTGCACACTCCTGCCCCTGCTGCTGTGTAGATGCCCCAACAGTCCCTGGGGCTCTCAGCTGAGGGACTGCGTTTGCTCGCTTGCTTGTTTTCTGGGATCAGTTCAGCAAACAACAGCACACAGCGAAATCCTCATGTCTGGAGAGACTGCCAGAGTTTTATTTTCTCCCAGGAGACAAAAAATAAAAATAAGCTTGCTGTTTCATCTTTGGGCTTGTCCTGACAGTCCCTTGGCCAAACCCGAGCACACCTGCAGGCGACCCAGGAAACCCAAGCTGAGGCTCAGCCGCCTACCCACACAGACAAGGAAACGAGTCTGTGTGCTGAGTCACAGTCTCCAGGAACTGTCCCCAACACCGTCCGCAGCTCCATAAGGGAGCTGGGGGACAGCAGAACGTCGCAGACCCTGTGGTCTCTCTGAAAAGTCCAAACACAGGAGGGGAACATTTAAATCCGCTGATGGTCCAGGTAGGCCTTGTGGAGTCAGGAGACTCTGAATGTGTTAGTGTCACAGGGGTGACAAGCCAGGTATGGGACAAAGGCCAGGGAAGCACACCAACAGGGTAGGGCTGGTGAATCCCTTCAGCTCCCGGAAGCTGCCCGTGGGAAGAGCATGAATTCAAACTAGACAAAAAAAAAAAAAAAAAAGTTGAGAGATGAAACTGTAACCTCCACGGTCTCTGAGCGACTCACTGTGCTGAAAATTTCGATCAAACAGAGAAGCAAGTCCCTGCTGGACGTTTCCGGCTCTCCCTTCAAATGGCTAGCTCAATTTAGAATCCTCAATTTAGAGCAGAGGAATGGAGCCACACTTTCCGGTGGGCAGATGCGGTAAACGATCATTCAAGTCAGTGTTGCTGGGGCACTAAAGACGGGTCACTTAAAGGATGGCTTCTTGTCCAGGGCACGTCCTAACCTGTTCAAGAGGAAACAGAAATTGGCGAAGCTCACGCAGACATCCGCAGCCTCGAGGTACATGAAGCCAGGGGATACGGTTCCTAACCAGCAAGCTGCTGGCCTGGGGGAGGAGACAGAGGCAGAGGAGCTGCCAGGATGGGAACAACTGAACCCATGAGAGCAGAGGCTATGGTCCCACTGCCTCGAGAGGGGGAGCATCTCTGAGCAAGGATCCAAAACAAGAGCCCTCAATACCCACGACGATCAGACAGTCGTGGACACTTGTAGAAACAAACCGAGACTCAGAACGTCAAGAGGCCAGTGTTAGAAACGAACCTTGTGGAGTCACGAGGATTGTGAAGCACCCGTGTGTGTGCCCAAGGACTTAAAGGAAAAGATGGTCACAGTGAGAGAGTCCATTGCGAATACTAGCACGTGTGCACGCGCGCACACGCGCGCGCGCGCGCACACACACACAGACACACACACACACATATACACACACACAGAGGCTGATGAAACTATTGCAGATCTGAAGACTACCCGAGAAGAAGACCGACCACAGCGTAACTGCCCTCCTTATTATCCTGTGGCACTTCCGGGAGAAGGAGGCGTACGCGCTCACACAACGACATTCGTCCTATAACGTACGACAGTGAACACAGGTGGGTTCACGCACACAGCTGCAGGCGTGCCCGGCCGTTTAGGTGTGCGTTTTTTAAGGTCTTCGCCTCAAAGGCAGACAGGAGGCAGTAGAATAGAGAAAAATAGAAAACAAACAACAAATGTAAATCTCACCAGATAATTAACCCCCTAAACATAGATGAAGGGAAAAAATCCATCAGCAGGGAACAGGGAGAACAATGGAATATGAAATCAGCCTCCAATTGTCCAAGCTTTGGGCTAATGGTGTTCCAGCAAAGCCTTTGGATCTCTGGGCTCAAGCATCTCCCCTCTTTCAAATGGTCTAAAGGCTGAAAACCCTCTGAGCTTCAGACTGGGTCTAACTGGTTTCTGGGAGGATTTCTATCTAAATTACCACACACCTGATGGCTTAAAACATCTATTCTCCTGTTTCTCCAAAGGTCCAAATAACAAGATGCCGTCAGTACCGCCCAGCCTTTCAAGGTTCCGGGGGACGCTCCTGGTCCCTGCTCACTCCTCGGCCACATCATTCTGGGCTTTGCCTCCAGCTTCACGGGACTGTTTCTCTGAATTCACTGTCCTGTGTTCTTGACTCTTTAAGGGATTCCACGTCTATGGTAACCCAGCATGCTTTCATCTGGCTCCTTGACTAACTACATCGGCAGTCTCATTTCCGAGTGTCACGAAGTCTTCCGAGATTCCAGGTGGGCGTGCCACATCAGCGTTTATTACGCGGTAATTCAGGATATATATGTATATCAGAGAAAAGTATAAAAATAGTGCTGCAACCTTCCGGTGTGCCATGTTAGGAGGGTCCCTCCCGCTTTATGTTAACTTTGCCATTCTGTGCTGACTCCCGTCAGAACTCACCATGTTCTTCCCCACTGACTCGCTGTGCTTCTGCCTGCCTAAAGAAAGGCTTCCTGGTTTGTGGGGTAACAGGAACCCCACAGATCAGACTTGCAAACTTCTCCGAGAAGGAAACCTCCTCATTGGCAGAGAACTGGATACAGCCGCTTCCTTCAACCATGGCCGGCGTGGGATTTCACTGCCTCGGTCCTGCAAGCTCCCTGGCTTATTTGAAAACCTCCAGTTTTGCCTTGACTCTAGATTTAAACACCATCATAGAGCTCATTCTTAGAATTCCTACTTCTTAGAATTCCTTTCTCTGCCTCTTCATTCACTACCATTTTCTTTATTCCACAGACCCGCAGAGATAGTCAAGCTTCTTCCATACCCTATCCTGAGTCCAGAACCCAGACTTGCTAATGATACAGTATGCTACCCTTCAAGGATCCAGGCTTCCTGATGATTCTTTATGCTACCTTTCCAAGACCCAGGCTTGCTAATAAGGCTTTGTGCTACCCTTCCAGGACCCAGGCTTGCTAACAACGCTTTGTGCTACCCTTCCAGGACCCAGGCTTGCTAATGATGCTGTGTGCTTCCAGTGGATTCTCCAAGGTTCTGACAAAATAAATGCTGTGTGTGGCTGTGTGCCGAGGGAAAGGAATGGTCACAAAGGCTGCTGAGGTGTTCACTTGCAGGGCACTGGGGTCTGGAGGACTGTGTTGTCATGTGACTCAGAACCGCTCCACTAACCCTGTTTGTCTTCATTCTGATGCTTTTGGCGCTAAGATAAAGAAAAGTCAATGGGTTGCATATTCCATCAACTGTGAAAAACCCAGACTGTATATTTCGAGTCCTGATCATGCAGAAATCCTTGCCTAAAGGAATCAAATTAATGACTTCCTTCTCTTTTAAGTTGTGAAGAAACTGTGATGTTCTTGGTGCACCATTGTGGTGGCCAGACAGACAGCCTTCCAGGCTTCCTGCCTGGTCTCTGGAGAGCAGTGTAATCTCTGAGGTAGAGTCAGGGGGAGGTTGCCTATGAGGAACTCTAACAGCTCTGATTCTGGGGGTGGGCTACTACTACCAACCTGCTCCTATTCTGGTCCAAGACTCTAGCTTTTGAAAGGGCAGAAAAGGAAACTTCAGGATTTGATCCTTACAGGAAACAAAACCAACTGAAACCTTGCCCAGTGAGGGTTTTTTTTTCTCCCACCTGCTAATCCTTCTCTGTTTCCTTATGTTTCTGTTTAAAAGGCAAGTTATGAAACGCACGGCAGGGAAGCATGTTATATAGATGTCTGGGCATCGGAGAAAGACATCCCCCATTGATTTCCACAGCTACCGGCTAGCATCACGACACTGGGAGCCTCGCCCACCCACAGCCTTTAGTTGTTCACCTGTGATGACAGCTTTGAAATCAAACTGTAGATATGGAAGACATGACATACCCCCGGTCCCCTGGATGCAGCCAGTGCTAATGGTACAGTAACCCTGTAGCGTGCCACCCGACCCAGCCACCTTGGGATGGAGAAAGCCTGACCTAGTACAGCCTGCCAGGCTGGCTCCTGCTCACAGTACCATCTAGAAACTTTGCGCCTTTTTTTTTGGTGTGTGTGTGTGTGCTTGACTGCACTCTTGCTACAAGAGGGGGAGGCTGTGTCATCCCTCCTGTCCCATCATTAGGTGAGAACAAATGTTCTCAGAGACTCTACAGACCTGAAGCAGAGACTGCCATGGGTTACTGAAGAACACCTGTAATGGTGCTCTATATCTGTAGGTCACATCTCCTTTGCAAGCCTCTGTCTCCAAAAATATCTTCATTGTGATTCGTAACAGAAGCAAAATTACGGTTATGGAGCAGCAATGAAAATAATTTTAAGGAATTATATTAAAGAGTTGCAGCATTGGAAAGGTTGAGAATCAGTGATCTATAGGAAACCTGCAGTGATCTGTAGGAAGCCTGTTTCCAGTTAGCAGGATCCTTAATGGGGGTGGGGTAGTGTGAACAGCTCTCAGCCTCGGCAAAGTGCACATTGTACAATTATTTCATCACAAGTTGAGCTCCAGTCGCTCAGTGTCTGGCATGAACCAACACTGAAATCCCTTTTCCTTTAATCCCCTTCATCTGAGAATAACCTCTCTTAATGAAAGTCTCAAGAGGAGGTTACAAACGATTTGTTTTTCCAGTTCCTCTTTTTTTTTTTTTTACAATATTTCCTAAAATAGAGAGCCATTCCTCCTGGCATCTTCCATGCAATACTTTCAGTCAAATATGATGTAGTCAATACGGCCACACACCACTTCTTCCAGAATGTCCCCTGGAGCCAGAGAATGAAGAACATGCATCTGGTATAACAAGTGGGAACCAGATCGTTGGGGTTCAAACTCCCTGGTACTCTTGACTCCTTGAGTAAGATCACGTTTTTGTGCCCTGGCAAGAGAGGCATGTAACCTTGGACTGGGTAGCACAGCCCTACAACAGATTGCTTAAGGAAGGTCAAATACATTCTGCTACTCCCGAAAGGCTAGAGCAAACATTTCCAAGGCTGCAACATTGTGTTCTTCGTGCTTTGAAATCTATAGAGTTTTCCTGTAACACTTACTTGACTTTTGCAACCAGGCTGGGGATGTTGCTGCTCAGTGATAGATTTGCCTACCATCGGTCTGGGTCTTGCCCTCAAGACTTCAAAAGTATGAAAGTCAAAATAGTTTTAACATTCTGCAGTCTACTCCGGAGTATATGCTTAAGTATAAAACGTGGAGCACATGGGGGTTGTAGAGATGGCTTAGCCGATAAAAACACGTGCTACTCTTCCAGAGGACCCAGGTTCACATCCTAGCCTCCCCCCCCCCGGCAGCCCACAATCATATTGTAATTCTAGGGGATCCGACGCCCACTTCTGGCCTCTGTAGGCATTAGGCACGCATGTAATGCACAGATATACAAGCAGGCAAAGCACCCGCACACATAAAATAAAATAAAAAAGAATACATCTTTAACAGTATGTTGCATGTAAATGAAAATATAGGTAGATAAATATAGCACACACGAATACAAAAAGAAATAGTCCATAGAGGACATCAAAAATAGAGTAGACCCATTTCTTCAGAATGAAATCTGGCGCTTCCTGCCCTCTTTGAAGATTTTACTTTCATGCCATTTAAACAGTTCTCTACTGAACACATGTCTAAGAATTCCTGCACCGAATTGGAAATAGCACACTTAAAATACTCGATACGGCTGAAAGAAAATGTGAAGAAAACGTGACATGCCCCACACCCATCATGCACATGCAGCGTGGGGGGGTGGGCGGGGCTGGAACAGAGAGAGGAGCAGCATCTATTTAGGGATTTCTTAGTGGCAATCACAGGAAATGGGAGAAACGTGCCCTTCCAAGACTAGCATTGTTCTGAGGAGACCCCTCTTCATCCCACAAAGCATCGGTTTCCAGGAAAGGAAAAACTCATGGGTCTCCTCGACTCTTCCACTTCAAAATTCCTTCCCTTAAATCTCAAGCACCGCTTGGCATCTTGTTAGCCTGTGGAAACAGGAGTCACGGAGCAGCAACAGGAGGCATGGGCTGCTCCCAATGGTCCCCCTGTACAAAGGGACTTATGGGCTGCTCGAAATAGTCCACCGTGCAAAGGGTGCCATGGGGCTTCTCGCCATAGTCCGCAGGGGACCGGTACATGCATCAGAAAAACCAATGGACTGAGAGTCCAGACAGCTTTCTGACCCACGGGAGTGTGGCCAGCCTAGCTAAGGAGCTATTTAAAGAGACGTCTCTGCCACACTACTCACGGAAGCCCAACACTCAATAATTAGTTCTTCAATACTTTGTCTGTATTCCACAGAGACTGTCGCTGTCCCCAATGCAGACATCATCCAGGTGAGGTCATGAGTTTAAGTTGTCATTTCCTACAGCACCTTGTCAAAGGAGAATGACCAAGCTAACTACGACAGTGCCCTGTAGAAAGGAAAGAGAGCATGCACATGGAGGGCTCATTTGAGACTCCTAAGCGCCCACCTTCAAGAGCCCGAGTCTACAGATCTGAGAAAGCCCTGGAAATCTCTCCTAGGGCTTTCTATGGACATTAGACCATGAGAGCCTGTCACTCCACCATGATGTCAGGCGGGTTCTCACACGAAGCCGACAAGATGCTCACCAATTACTTGGGTAATGGCCGCAAGGAGCGTTCTGTTGGGCAGGGCAGTGGGCACCCCATTCATCCTCAGTGGTCATCTACAGTTGGGGTTGTGGACACTCCATGCATTCTGTGGTGGTCACCTACAGTTGGGGTAGTGGACACTCCATGCATTCTGCAGTGGTCACCTGCAGTTGGGGTAGTGAACACTCCATGCATTCTGCATTGGTCACCTATTGTTGGGGTAGTGTACACTCCATGCATTCTGTGGTGGTCACCTACAGTTGGGGTAGTGTACACTCCATGCATTCTGTGGTGGTCACCTACAGTTGGGGTAGTGTACACTCCATGCATTCTGTGGTGGTCACCTACAGTTGGGGTAGTGGACACTCCATGCATTCTGTGGTGGTCACCTACAGTTGGGGTAGTGGACACTCCATGCATTCTGTGGTGGTCACCTACAGTTGGGGCAGTGGACACTCCATGCATTCTGTGGTGGTCACCTACAGTTGGGGTAGTGGACACTCCATGCATTCTGCGGTGGTCACCTACAGTTGGGGTAGTGGACACTCCATGCATTCTGTGGTGGTCACCTGCAGTTGGGGTAGTGGACACTCCATGCATTCTGTGGTGGTCACCTGCAGTTGGGGTAGTGGACACTCCATGCATTCTGCGGTGGTCACCTACAGTTGGGGTAGTGTACACTCCATGCATTCTGTGGTGGTCACCTACAGTTGGGGTAGTGTACACTCCATGCATTCTGTGGTGGTCACCTACAGTTGGGGTAGTGGACACTCCATGCATTCTGCGGTGGTCACCTACAGTTGGGGTAGTGGACACTCCATGCATTCTGTGGTGGTCACCTACAGTTGGGGTAGTGGACACTCCATGCATTCTGTGGTGGTCACCTACAGTTGGGGTAGTGAACACTCCATGCATTCTGTGGTGGTCACCTACAGTTGGGGTAGTGGACACTCCATGCATTCTGTGGTGGTCACCTACAGTTGGGGTAGTGGACACTCCATGCATTCTGTGGTGGTCACCTACTGTTGGGGTAGTGTACACTCCATGCATTCTGCGGTGGTCACCTACAGTTGGGGTAGTGGACACTCCATGCATTCTGTGGTGGTCACCTACAGTTGGGGTAGTGGACACTCCATGCATTCTGCAGTGGTCACCTACAGTTGGGGTAGTGGACACTCCATGCATTCTGCAGTGGTCACCTACTGTTGGGGTAGTGTACACTCCATGCATTCTGCGGTGGTCACCTGCAGTTGGGGTAGTGGACACTCCATGCATTCTGCAGTGGTCACCTACAGTTGGGGTAGTGAACACTCCATGCATTCTGCGGTGGTCACCTACAGTTGGGGTAGTGGACACTCCATGCATTCTGCGGTGGTCACCTGCAGTTGGGGTAGTGTACACTCCATGCATTCTGTGGTGGTCACCTACAGTTGGGGTAGTGGACACTCCATGCATTCTGCGGTGGTCACCTACAGTTGGGGTAGTGGACACTCCATGCATTCTGCGGTGGTCACCTACAGTTGGGGTAGTGGACACTCCATGCATTCTGCGGTGGTCACCTACAGTTGGGGTAGTGGACACTCCATGCATTCTGCGGTGGTCACCTGCAGTTGGGGTAGTGTACACTCCATGCATTCTGTGGTGGTCACCTACAGTTGGGGTAGTGGACACTCCATGCATTCTGCGGTGGTCACCTACAGTTGGGGTAGTGTACACTCCATGCATTCTGCGGTGGTCACCTACAGTTGGGGTAGTGGACACTCCATGCATTCTGTGGTGGTCACCTACAGTTGGGGTAGTGAACACTCCATGCATTCTGTGGTGGTCACCTACAGTTGGGGTAGTGGACACTCCATGCATTCTGTGGTGGTCACCTACAGTTGGGGTAGTGGACACTCCATGCATTCTGCAGTGGTCACCTACTGTTGGGGTAGTGTACACTCCATGCATTCTGCGGTGGTCACCTACAGTTGGGGTAGTGGACACTCCATGCATTCTGTGGTGGTCACCTACAGTTGGGGTAGTGGACACTCCATGCATTCTGCAGTGGTCACCTACAGTTGGGGTAGTGGACACTCCATGCATTCTGCAGTGGTCACCTACTGTTGGGGTAGTGTACACTCCATGCATTCTGCGGTGGTCACCTGCAGTTGGGGTAGTGGACACTCCATGCATTCTGCAGTGGTCACCTACAGTTGGGGTAGTGAACACTCCATGCATTCTGCGGTGGTCACCTGCAGTTGGGGTAGTGGACACTCCATGCATTCTGCGGTGGTCACCTACAGTTGGGGTAGTGTACACTCCATGCATTCTGCGGTGGTCACCTGCAGTTGGGGTAGTGGACACTCCATGCATTCTGCAGTGGTCACCTACAGTTGGGGTAGTGAACACTCCATGCATTCTGCGGTGGTCACCTACAGTTGGGGTAGTGTACACTCCATGCATTCTGCGGTGGTCACCTGCAGTTGGGGTAGTGGACACTCCATGCATTCTGCAGTGGTCACCTACAGTTGGGGTAGTGAACACTCCATGCATTCTGCGGTGGTCACCTGCAGTTGGGGTAGTGTACACTCCATGCATTCTGTGGTGGTCACCTACAGTTGGGGTAGTGGACACTCCATGCATTCTGCGGTGGTCACCTACAGTTGGGGTAGTGGACACTCCATGCATTCTGCGGTGGTCACCTACAGTTGGGGTAGTGGACACTCCATGCATTCTGTGGTGGTCACCTACAGTTGGGGTAGTGAACACTCCATGCATTCTGTGGTGGTCACCTACAGTTGGGGTAGTGGACACTCCATGCATTCTGTGGTGGTCACCTACAGTTGGGGTAGTGGACACTCCATGCATTCTGTGGTGGTCACCTACAGTTGGGGTAGTGGACACTCCATGCATTCTGCAGTGGTCACCTACAGTTGGGGTAGTGAACACTCCATGCATTCTGCAGTGGTCACCTACTGCTGGGGTAGTGAACACTCCATGCATTCTGCATTGGTCACCTATTGTTGGGCAGTGAGCACTCCATGCATTCTGTGGTGGTCACCTACTGTTGGGGTAGTGGACACTCCATGCATTCTGTGGTGGTCACCTACAGTTGGGGTAGTGGACACTCCATGCATTCTGTGGTGGTCACCTACAGTTGGGGTAGTGGACACTCCATGCATTCTGCAGTGGTCACCTACTGTTGGGGTAGTGGACACTCCATGCATTCTGCATTGGTCACCTATTGTTGGACAGTGAGCACTCCATTTATCCTCAGAGGTCACCCACTGTTGGGCAGTGGACATTCCATTAATCCTGCAGTGTTGGGTATTGGACACTCCATTCACCCTGCAGTGGTCACCTACTAAAGTTTGGCTAAAGCTGGTAATCTTCAGTCTACTTCTTGATAGACGACTTTCATTTCTATGAACTGGAGGTGATGACTTCCCCACCTTTCGGGAGACACAGTTCAGACCATGAGGCCTCCCCAGCCATCCCCCCTAGATGACCACAGCTATGTCACTCTGTGTGCTTGGTTCTAAGCCGCTACTCCTCTTTGATCTCCAGGCACTGACTCCGCTGGAGGTTCTTTCAGACTTGCCTCTAGGTCTTGCTGAGTAGGTGAAAACTCAAACACCGAATGTTCACATCAACCAAGCAGGTGATCTCGGGGTGCTCTTTCCAGACTGTCATCTGCACTGCTGCCTTGATGGACCTCCCTGGACACTTGTAGGCCCTGAGTCTCCTGGTCGCCTGAGGAGCTGGAGTTTCTCACAGTCTCCAGGGACACTTGGGCAGGTTTGGGCATAAAGGGCTGATGTACCAGAGATTAGGTTTAGCAACCTCGTACCCA